CTTCCATTGTGCAGGCATAATTGCTATAAACAATCATCTGCTCCACTGCCTGTTAAATTAATTGAGCAATTGGCTGCTTAAAAGGGAAAGTAAGGAAAACTGAATCTGTTGATATATTAGATCAGTGTTTCCCAACCGGGGTGCCGTCTGTCGAGAGCAGGGGTGCCGTGTAAAAAAAATCATGGGCATCTCTGGTAACGCTGCCCTCTCATTCATTGATCTGCTAACCGCTATGTTATGCTCCCGTGTTCTGATAATAGTAGCTTTCTAGGATTAAACATTATTTGGATAATTGGTAAAAAAAAAAAAAAAAAGTGAAATATCTTAACCCTACTGTTAGATCTACCTGTAAATCTAAAAAGCAATTTATTTAATTCGAAGGCCTGTCTTTTTATTTGTGCTATCATTATTAATTTCTTTATTTGTTCTTATTTTATTACTGACTGCTTACTTGTCATTTTTTTTATTCAATTTAAAGTCTGAAATTAAGCTATCTCGTGCTACTGCAACACAATTACCCCACTGTAAAATAAAAAAAACACAATTAATTTTGTAGGGTGCCACAAGTTTGTTAAAATTTCCAAAGGGTGCCGCGACTAAAAAAAGGTTGGGAAACACTGTATTAGATAATTGAGGACTGTTGTGTTGTGGCCTTTTTTTTTTTAAGTCATATTTTTTGAATGGTACTGTTTTTATGATTTCGGTAGGACTGGGAGGGTTATTAATTGTTGTATGTTTATGTGTTGATGTGTAGCGGTTCTCTCTTATCCAAATCAAATTTCTCCTGAGAGAGACCTTGACCTTACCTGTTTGATACCATTTTACTTTTTTGAGTTATAGAAATTGTTTGTTTGTTAGAAACAAATGATTACTCTGTCTCCTATTTACTGTAAGATGGTAAATACACTTTCTTGGTATTTTGAAGTATTGCATTCAGTTCCACTGTTTAACATACTTCAGATAAAGCTGTATAGGAGCAAACAGTGGGTTCAAAAGTTCCTAGAAATGGCAAATAAGTTATTTTGAAAGTCTCACAAGCTTGAGCTCAGGGTTCATCTCTGAAGGACACAAGCATACAAGGAGCTAAAAGGCACAGACGAGACCAAGTTAAGGCTAGTTTAGACTTCATGTGGGACTTCAGAAGCAGTCAGTCAAGCAAGACTAATTCCTAAAAAAACACCAGAACCAAGCAGACTTGAGAGAAACCAGATTCATTAAATTAAAACCATTCACATTCAGTGGGACTGGACCTTGTTGCTGATGTTCCCGCGGGCCTTTGGTCTTCTTGGGCAGTAGCTTCGCCTGCCGAGATCGTGACTCACTCAAGACTGCGTTCAGCTCCTGGTCGTTTCTCACTGAGAGTAGTATGTGGCGCAGCGCAATAAAAGAGATGCAGACAAAATGATCACGGAAAGTGACATCACTAGATGTGTTCCCTGGGATCATGCGCCGGTTCACTTTGACCTTTATTAATAAAGGCCCTTCCTCTGACCCACAACACAGAGTCTCGCGATAGGGTTTGACATTATTATTAATTTTTCTTGTCTTTTTTCGTCTTGTGTGTTTTAGATGTGTTTCCTGGCTGCATGCCAGATTGACCTTCATCTATAAATGACACTCTCAGGCCTTTTCTTTGGCCATACGTGTGTGTATAACGGACACGGCGTGGTTCATGTCATCTTCGATTTTGTTGTTCGTCCACATTTCCTCTCATGTGTTTACAAACTCCTTTTCCTTCTCTTTCTTTATATATATATATATAGTGGGGGAAATAAGTATTCAACACGTCAACATTTTTTTATTTTATTTATTAAACTGTTCCAATGCAGCAATTCCTATGAAAGTTTGACTAGATGTTGGTATTAACAAAATAAATCTACAATATTATATTAGAAATATTATATAACTATCCATTAAAAAAAGTAATGTGTAATAAAGTGAAATGATACAGGAAAAAGTATTGAACATGCTTGTGAAATTGTATTTATTACTTAGTTGAGAGAGTCTTTATTTGCTATGACAGCTTCGAGATGATTCCTGTATGAACAAATATTCTGAGGGACCCTCTTGTGAATCATGATCTTCAGTTTCTTCCACAAATATGGTCTATTGGGTTTAAGTCTGGTGATTGCCTGGGTCAGTTGTCCTGCTAGTCTTATCCTCATCATCCTGGTGGTGGACGGCAACAGATTCATCTGAAGAATTTCCCAGTACATTGCTCCATTCATCTTCCCCTCAATAATATGGATTTTGCCTGTACCATGTGAAGAGAAACAGCCCCTTCTTGAACGTGATTTTATAGCGATCATCATTCTCATGCCCTTTGCATCTGTGTACTGATGCCAAAAGTTTCCCATTGAAAGCAATGTAGGTCCCAGTTCGTCTATATAGTGACGCCGAGGGGTACCTTTGACGTCTTCATAGTGACGCTAAAGGCGCTTGAACATGCTTCGGTTTTTGACGCCTTAGGAGTGAGAATGGGTTGGTATTTTGGTGTGATTGAGTGGCAGTTTCTCTCTAAAGATGACGAGGTTGTAGGATGTGACCGCATCTGAAATGTACAATTGAGTTTAGATATGTGTCTCCTTTCATTTGTTTATGTAAAAACAATTATGTTTATGAAGGCCAAAAGTAGTATGTGAGCACTTCACAATGTTATGTTTATGCATAAACCCAAGTAATAAATAAATAAAAAGAAAATAAATAAATCTATTACTTAGTGGAGATGGAGAAAGAAGTATCCTTAACTGAACAGAGCTGGTCACACTTACATGTTCTCTTAAACTAAAAAGAGAAAAAGACATGATTGGTAGGAAACCAGTTACAGTTTTAAAGTTAAATTAGTATTTAAATTATGAAATAATTTACCTGTTGAGAGTGTGTTGACAGTCGGTGTAGTCGGATGGCTGAGCTCCAGAAAATCAGTAAGGTGTTTTGTCCGTTACAGATTTGAAAAACAAAGGCAGGAATAAAGAACCCTAAACTCTAACACAAAGAACCATTTCAGCATAAAAGGGTTCTTCAGGATGCTGTGGTTCTAAATAGAACCGATATTACATGTAAAGAATCTTTAAAGAACCATCTTTTTTCAGAGTGTGAGTGTTGTCGGTCATTGCATCGTAAAAGTTATTTTCATGATTTGTTATCATAACATTTCACAACTCTTTTGTCAAATCAGCTCAGATTCACAGATGTTGATCATATATCATACTATTTTGAGTTTCTGTTGAATAATCTAATCTCCTTCTTTGCATCAACTCAGATTTTTAATTAATGATCTTTAAATTTAAATGTTAGGCTACTTAATTTAGGTTAAACAACATCGATTTTACAGTGCGATTCTGTCTTTAATAATTTCTGGACAATATTTTAATTTAATGCAACATCCACAATACATTTTTAGTAAAAAATTTAATTTGGAAAATGATGTCCTCCCCGTTCTGTTTTCACTGGAGAAAAACAATAAGGGCTGAACGCAGATAAAACTTTACAGTGGATGCTACCGCAAAGACCTGCACAGGTGCAGATATCATAACAATCTATCAATAAATGCGCGCACATTGTCCTCTGCTTCTGATGCTAGTGCTGAAGAATATGACTGAAGAACACGCTGAATAATGCTGACCTGGAGAGGAACCAAAGCTTGCAGCTGTTTTCAAATGAGTTTTAAAGGGGTCTGAAGCAATCACGAAAGTTGTGTACAGATTATGGAGCTAATCACTATTTTTAGGGGGGCTGAGCAGAAATGGTGGCAGATGAGTGCTTGAAGGAGACTAAAGCCCCCTAAAAAGGACCTAGAGACACCCCTGGAGTCAGATAATATTCACAGCCTTTGGTGATTTTCTCTGATTCACTTTCATAACCTCCTGAGCTTTATGACATGCACGTGTTTTGTGCTGAGATGAAATGATTAGAGATGACTGTGTGCGCTCTCATGTTGGGTTAGACCAGAAATAAAGAGCCAGAGATGCCACTGGTTTGTTTGTGTATGTCTTCTCTACCAACAAAACTAGTCACGAACCCAAAGCATTGATCTCTGGGTATGACCAAAAACACATATTTGAGAACAGAGTCTGATTTCTGTAATGTTTCCACTCCAGGGCTTACAGCTCCAGCTTCACTCTCACTAGAGAGAGAAACACACTCTGATGCCTTGTCCACACTGAGATGGCATTTTTGTCAAGGAAAACAGAGCTGTTTGAAATTGTGAAAACACAGTTTTCTCATTTTAGTGTGGCTTTTGAAAACTGACGCATGTTTAGTCATGAGACGCGTATTACTGATATATTTCTGTTTATACCGATATTGTGCCTGTTTTGTGCTATTCACTTTCACACTGTTGCTAAATATGTTACTCTGTACACTCTTCACATTACGGGCCTGCAAAGATGACAGAAAAACATGCAGCAAAACATGAGGGCAGCTGCATTTAAGATCAAACATATAATGGTGAGTGAGTGCGACCTGGACACATCAATACATTATGAGAAATTTTCGTAAATAAAATGATCCTGCCAGAAGAATTGCATGTAAATATGTCTATTTCGTCTGTATAATCTCAGTGAGATTTATGAGGTTTTACACATGCACAGTTAGGCGAAACTTTTGAAAAACGGCGTTTTAAAATAAATGCCATTTTCAAATGCATCCAGACTAAAGTAGACACAGCCTGAGTGAGAGGAAAAACAGATGCTTTCAAAAAACAAACCCTGCTCCAAATGCAGAAGTGAACCAACATGTATCAGAAAACTGAAGTGGAAACTGCAAACACTGCATTATTGAGCAACATTAGTATATCCCTCTATATGTTTTATTTTAAATCCATGTTTCTGTACATGTGACAGCTCTAAAATTAGTCCCGTAACCATGATGAAGAAAGGTCCCATCACATTCCTCATTTCTCCTCATTAGTTAATTTCAGTCACTCCCACAACAGCATCACTGACAGTGACTGTGTTTAAAGCAGCGGAGCTTCTGCTGTCTCTGCTCTAAAACACAGAAGCAGCTTCACACCATGATTGTTCTGGGTCTGATCACCTGTGTCGTGCTGAGAGCATTCAGTGCTCAGGCAAAAGTGGTCCATAGCTTTAATGAGTGTGATGAGTTTTTCTACCTAGGCACAGAACCAAGCGGAATGGACCAGAATGCTGAGAAAATCTGTCAGAAGCTGGAAAATGGAGGCTTACATTATGCTACTCTGTACTCGGTTCATCACAAGATCCCTCTCTACAGCGCCTACAAATTGGACGCTAGATGCCTAGGCGACACTGAAAGGAAAGACATCTGGCACCTCGAGCCACAGGTGACTATGAGCTTAATACAAAAGACTTTCTTTCGCAGTTGAAGCTCAGCATTCTATAAGAAGCAGATCAGTTCATTAAACTATTGGTCTATATATATATATATATATATATATATATATATGTTTTGTCATTACAAACCGTATGAAAAATACATAAAAACCCCATTCAATTAAAATTGAATTGGATGGTACTTTATTGAACATTGTTTTACCATAATTGTACAGTAAACATTAAAAATGTCCACTAAAAGACAATGTAGACAGTAAGAAAGTCTTTCCACCTATGTATGAAATTTAGAAGGAAAAACACCCTCAAAAGTATTTTCCTACAAGCAATAAAATATCAAATGACCATATAACATAATATTTCTTCTGCAGATCAACCCATAAGCAGTTACTACAGGGGCACGGGATATGATCGTGGACACCTGAACCCCAGCTGCTTCCAATGCGGAGACGGCCGTAAAGCGACATTCACACTGACCAACGCTGCACCTATGGACGCGTGTTTCAACCGTAAACACTGGAGGAACTGGGAGAGGACGCTGAAGGGTTATTTAATAAAGAAGCTTCTCAGGTATTTTGAGTCAACAACTTTCATTGTCACAGGTACGGTACCTGATCCTAATGTATGGATACCACAGAGGGAAACCTCTAAAGACCCAGAAAGGGTGTCGGTGCCCTCTCACGTCTGGACGGCTGTCTGTTATAAACGCTACCGTAATGACAGTAAGTCCTTATCCTTTGGCTTTATTGGGAGAAACCAGCAGAAAGAGCCTGACATACGCCTGATGAGTGTCTCAGACCTGAATGATCAACTCAGCAGACTCTACAGTGAGCTCTCAAGGACTCCTCAGTCAATTAAGATTTTTGCTGATGATTGTTTTGGTGACAATAATAAATTAACCAAGGTTATGGAGGTGTTTCCAAAATTAATTAATCTACAAGTGAACAAAGCAGACCAAATGAGCTCAGGCATGCGAGACACATATCTCGCGGTGAAGAGGACCTTTAGCAGTGACGGCACACCTGAAAAAAAAGTCAACGTGAATGAGAATACAGGAAAGATGTCCTTTGACAGCATGAGCACTTACTACAAAGTGGCAGAGGACGTGAATGTTTTTACTGGAAGTACTTGTCTTATAACTTACGCCAAGCCACAAGTGAGGAAAATGGATGATGAGCGCAGAAAAAGGGAGGTATCCGCGGGGCCAGATGCTGTTGAATGCCAGCTGGTCCCAGAGAAGCAGAAGACTGCAGCTGACGGCTCACGCTGCTCAAGCGTCACAGAATCTGATGACAGCTGTCAATGCAACACAGGAGGTGAAACCAAGCCCTGCTGCTCCTCTCCCTGCTTCATAGACAAATCAAGTAGCTATTGGTGTTACTCAGGCCAGACACTGGAATGGTGCTCACCCCCGTACTCACTTATCACGTATAATGGAAAGAGGTGCTTGGATGATCACCCCTGCGCCACATATGGTGAGGACTACTACTGGTGCTGGACCTCTAAAAGCTGGGACTACTGCAGTCCTCCGCTGAAGTACAGTAAGACTAAAAAGGGGACGTACTGCCGCAGCAACCACGCCTGTGCAAAATATGGTTACAGACATACATGGTGCTACACAGATGATAAAGGCAATTATGACAAGTGCTGTACTTCTGATGATTGCTACTCAACTGTTAATGACCAAACCTGCAGGTCTAATCACCTCTGTGGCTACCATGATAAAGCTTACCTGTGGTGCTACACAGATAGAGAAGGCAACTGGGATTATTGTTGCACAAACTGTAGACAGTGGATGGTTTAAAGTGCTTATTACAATTAATAATAAAGTATGACTTTGCAAAGTTAATTGTGATTTATAATTGCATTACTTACAAACCAACAAACTTTCTAACATAAAGTCTCTCATACATGTTTCTCAAATTAACACCAGCTTTAAATGTATTTTTCCCTGATCATTTGTATGCAAAAGCAAAAGGCTCAATAAAAACATCTATGAACCTATAATATATTTGCAAATTCTTACACAAAGTACTGTAGTATGATTTGTTTCCAGTAAAAACACATCTCTGACATTTTATGAGTGTAGACTCACATAAACACACACACACTACGCAAAGCTTGAAGAACAACGATGTGATTTTCACGAGTAATAATTCAATCAGTGTCTGTGACGTGTGCACCGAGCCCTCCCTGCACTTACACTCCTCAACAGATGCCCCACGCTTGATATTCAGCCCGAGAAATGATCCATAATTTCAACTCACATTTATTTGTGTAGCGCTTTACACAATACTTTTTTTTGTGTTTTTTTACAAAAAATGTCTTAACGAGAGAGCGTGTCATTTAAAAGATGTATGCTTTTGTAACAATAAAACATTGTCGTTAAAACAATATTTTCTCAAAATAATGAGGTTTTTCATAAAAACAAATAATGGAGAATTATTTGTAATGGAGAATTGATATAGATCAGTGCCGTCACAATCATGCCAGGCTCTACATAAGACTGACCAATACTGAGTAGCCTACATCTTGGATTCGTTCAAACCTACGGCACACATTTATGCACAAACAGATTATTTTCTACATGTCTAATGTATTTAGAAACAAAAATAATAAAGAAAGAATAAACATGATTTTGATTTAGCTCAACAACCTAAAATATGATCTGCATGCACAATAAACCAAAATAAGGTTCAGGGTTTTTTTTGTCCATGTCTTAATATAAATATAGACATTTAATAAATCTAGTCATAAGAATATTTCCAGCATGTTTTGTTTGTCATTGAAGAAACCTGGGGCCTGTACCATGATAGTGGCTGAACAAACTCAGGGTTACAGGATTAGTTTTTGAGTTGACAAAACCAAACCAATTCAATCTGGCTTTGTTGGTACCATGATGCTGACCATCAACTTTCTCCGTCAACTCAGGCTTTGATCCTGAGTTAATGAAGCGCGTGCACTTGAAAGCATGACATCAGTAATGAACAGCCAATCACATGCCTTTTAACTGTGATTTACTTCTCGCAATTCACTGCCATAGACTAAACGATTGAAAAATATGAATTAAATACATTTACACAGAAAGGTGGAAAGAGCTGTCAGTGAAAGAGGACAACTAGAAGAAAACATCTTGCCATATCAGTGCAAGTGAAACTTGTGAAGTTAAAGTTCAACTTTATTATATAGTTGATGATATATATAGGTATTATAAAAAGATTCAAAAATCTAAACTCAAATGTAGTCATGTTTAAAGCTTTATCTATTAATTCTAAAGCTTATTTATATTCTATGTATATATTTATAGTAATTTAAAATAAGATTAATCATTATTATTTAAGTATGGCTTGTGTAATGGATTAAGGCTATACTAAATATATAAATCAGATAATAATTATAATAAATAATCATCATCACTAAAAGCCAGATGATTTTCTTTAAAAATGTTTTACAATGTTAGTGCCCTTTAATTTGGAACAAGAGAAACTGGGGGAATGGCTTTAGTGCATCAGAGATGTGTCACTTTTCTTGAAGCTGATTGGTCAAATTTCAGTTTGCGATCTCTAACCCAGAACATAACCTGCCCCGGAGCAGGTTAGCTGTGGAGCGCAAGTTACTATGGCGATGAACACTGCTAAAAGCCAAGCCACTTTCATGGTACCTAAAACCCAGGATTGGTGTGAACTAAACTGAAACTTACCTGGCTAGCCAGCTAATCCGGCTTCATGGTACAGGCTCCTGCATTGTGCATCAGGCTCGTTCAAGTCCTCAGTGATACAAACACATGTGCATAATATCAGCAACTCACTCGTCGAAATCCTCTGCAAACTTCGACTCATAGCTCATAGGCATACGGTTCATTTTGATTCAGATACTGACTTTCGGCTTTGCATTTCAACTCTCCGACTGCCCAACTACTCAACTTAAACTGACAGCCTAAATATTCACTAGATATATTTTGACATTTTAAATTAAAGAAAATGTGGAGAAATGTCAATTTATATTTTGGTCTGAAAGAAAAGTTAAGTTCACTCACTGCCACTAAGACTCACTCTCTTAGACTGCAGCCTCCGTTCATACTGTACAGCCAGATGTGAAGCAGGGAATGTGAATATCTATCTATCTGTCTGTCTGTCTGTCTGTATTTTTGTAAATGTTTTATTAAGTACTGTAAGTCCTCTACTCCTTGGCATAAAATATTACAGTACATGATTTATCTTAAATTAAAATATAATATGCATGCACATTACATTTATTCAGTGAGAGCAAAGTATAAAAAAAAAAACAAAAAAAAAAAAACATAATTTTACTAATGTTTGCTATATCGCTCATCACCTGTACCAACAACATTCAACCTGATGAGCATCAACTCTGATCTTGGCCTTCACACTCTCTCCCTCAAAGACTTTCTGTCCACTACAAAATGTTAATCTAGTATAGACAAGTGTTTTACTGTGCCCTCATGGTAAAGGTGAAATGCCTCTATGATTTTGAACTGGTGCTGATTTTTTCCCCCTTTTTTTGTCATTTTCTCGCTTGAAATGAAACTGTTCCTGTGTCTGGTCGTTCTGGTGCTCAGTGCTCTGTAGCGTCGACCAGATGGCAACAGTTCAAAGATAACTGTTCATTAGCAGACATTCATAATATAACGTGCTAAACCGTGTGTAATTTGTAGGCATCTCCGTAAAAAGTAAGTTTAGGTGAAAGGTTAGTAAGGTAAAAGCACACAGAACTGTTATTAAACACGTTCACTCAGAAATTGATCACAGTTTGTAATTACAGTGATTCCTCATTGAAAAATATAACATAGGCTTAAAAACACAGAAGGTGGGCTTAAGTGGTACACAGTGAGTAATGGTGAAAAAAGACAATGTTTTTCTTAAAAAATGTAAGATGTGTTCACAAAAAACATGCATGGAACTTAAATATACTAGGGATACCAGACCAATACAATTAGTGTGCCTCCTCTATTTTAAAACCCACGAGCCGCCACTGAGTGTTTGTAGTTCACATGCTTAATTTATTGGCAGTCTATCTTTCAGTAAGGCTATTGGTTTGACCTTGAGATTAGCTTTGTGTGCAAGCTAATAAAAATCATCTTTACATTTAAAGGAAAATTTATATAAAATGATAGTACTATTTGTACACACACACACAGACACACACACACAAAGACAAATTCGACATAATATTAGTGTACATACCATAGAAATGTCTGAACACTGCATAAATGTGTGGATTTGTGAAGGGTCCTGAAACACCAAAGTTTTGGGGTGTCTGTGTGAAATCCCCTGAGGCAGCATGTAAATGGGTGGAGCTAACTCAGAATTGCCAAATCTGATTGGTGTGCAATAAAAATGTATGGGAATGAACAAATGACTAGATTGGTTAAAATAATGATCAACATAAAACATGATTGTCTCTTTTTTTTTTTTTTATTCGATGTCAAAGTATAAAGTGGGCTTAAAGGGTACATGGGCTTAATGTGTACACTTGCCCTAATTAGTGTACACAGAAATCAGTGAAATGCTAGCCCAAGGAATTATTCCATTTTACTGATTTTTTTTGTTCTAAAATGCTGTCTTAAATATGACCATTTGTATTTTATTTCAGCATTCCAGTATTATAGCAAACTACATTATAACTTCTACAAAATATCACAATTTATTTATTAAAGTGTTTACTTGGTCCATCGCTGAATCAAACAACTTTAATTTTAAAGTCCCCCTGTGGTCAATAATTGTATCCCTTAAAACTCATATTTGATCATTTAAAGCGACATTTAAACTTTTTTTTTTTTTCCCTGTGAAAATTATTTCTTCATGCTTTAAAATAGCTTGAACATAATTCTACACCCTTGCCTCATTTACTATGGATGGATTTAGGAATATGTAAATTACAATTTTTTTTTTTTGTGATAATAAAAATAGACCCAAGTGAACACTAGCCTTTAAAATTACTTAAAATATATAACAGAAATGAACACAATAGTTTAATACTCGCTGTTGTTATTTTGTGTTTTTTTTTTTTGGAACAAAACTGTTAAAATACATAATGAATAAATAAACAATACAACTAATGTGCATTACAAAAAATGCCTGCAATGGTCTGACGATTGTTTTTACACTTTAAATTACAGCGCGATCCAATCCTTGACTAAAAATTTAATTCAAATGTCCACTTAATCCTTAACATTTGTCCATTTCTTTACGACAGAAAAGCTACAGCCACTGTCAGTTCTTGAATATGTGGACAATAAACACGCAAACTCAGAGCGAGGGCTTGAACTTTTATTTTGAAATCGCGATGAACAGATAGCATATTTAAAGTCATTGATGTATTCTCCTGTGTTTGCGTAGGTTTATGAAGGATTTACCTCACAAATCTGACGAAATGCCTCACATAGCGTTCCCAGGTGAACGTTATACTCAATCCAAACTCATTACCCCTTGAAATGTCATCGTTGCTCTGTGTGTGGCACATTTACAGATTGCAATTTCTGATGGAAGTTTTAGATTTTCGAGCAGCGTGTCAATTAATTTTTAATGCACTATAAGTTTCCCATTTGCTGTAAGAAAACCTCAACTTGTCCAAATTGCCCTATGATCGTGGCAGACGCCGGGCGCATAGTGCGAATCAGTGCGGATTGTTGCAGAGTGTCCCTTTGCTATTTACATGCTCGGGAAAGAGCTACGAGTTCAGCGGCTTGTGCAAAATGATGTTTTGGCAAACAAGCAGTTTCTACAACATCAAACTGGGTACAAACGGCATATGCAGTTGACAGTTGATCTGTGTCTGGATTTCAGAGACATGATCCATCGACAAGGGTGTGTCGCCCAAGTCAGGATGTGGGTTTGCCACAATATCTACGACTTCTGTACAATCATGAAGATCTCCGTCATCTTCAGTAGGTAACAGTGTGGATGGATTTATGATGGTGCACCATTTGAATGTGAC